AAATAGGGGATCCCCATCTTCCCAAATGTCCATCTGTACTAATCTGACAGCATTCTGTTTTATTCTCTACTCATCCCTGCCCGTGGCAACTGGCTGCATGCCAGGTTGCAGAAACTCTGTGGTTTTTGTTATGATCAGACTAAGGCTCAGAAACTTTGAAGGGTTCTGCCCAAAGTCACACAACCAGTGTCTGATGAAGCTGTCACAAATATCCAGTCTAGCTGTCTTCTACATCCAGCTCCCTCTAACACTCATGACGGTGGCTCTGCCAACTGCTGTACTATGTGTTACTTAGCCTATAAAGAGAAGCAGCTAACGTCAGAAACCCCAGGACTCTCATTCCCCCCGTATCACAAGTTTTCACGACCAGAGGCCCTCGGTGATAGTGACTGACAAAGGCCAATAATTCAACACCAGCTTTTGGGAAAGTATAGCTTTCTCTTTCTACTCATTTTGCAAAAGAAAAAAAATTCCATTTGGCCTCAGAAAAAAATATTCTCAGTGCCAAACACGATTTTTGCACATGGTAAGGATGTGTGATTTTTTTCATATGTATTTTTTCCCTTTTTCCCCTTTTAGTAAAAACAGTTTCATCCCTGGCAAGAGACTGAAAGAAAGGGAGTAAAAAAATGCTACAGAAAACCATTGCTTGGCTATTACAGAGACCAAAGCCAAGAGTTTTAGAAGCTCAGTAGTTGAAAGAGAGTAAGATCTAAATAAAGATTATCAGAGCATGAAACAAAAGCTAAGTTTGGGGGCTGACTCCCATGTGTCCTTGCCCAAGCAGCTCAGGACCATTTAGATATCTCTCAACTCTTAGAAAAAAAAGGCATCAATATTGCCACTCTTCCTACCTATGCCCATGGCAGACATTAGTAATCCATCACAGCAGGAATGCAGCCTGGAGCTCCAAGAGGCTCTTAACCACTGATTAGAATTGGCAAAGAAGATGCAACAAATTGCTCCCCTACCCTCATCAATTCATTCATTCATTTATGAAGCTTCTGACACATGGAGAAAAAGAGTGGACTGGCAAAGGTTACTAGAGAAGTTGGCACCAGTAAGCCTTTTCCTGACTTCGCTACAGGGGTCGTCAGCTAGTTTTGTTTTTTTCTGCCTCTTCATCTTCTGAGTGTCCTGGAGGGAGAATTCTCGGGGTTGGAGAATGTCACCTGTGGACTTAAGTCTTCTGCCTGCATGGATTTTTCAACGGGATCTGTCACGTGTGTTCTGTGGATCACCTGGGGTCACAGTGGAATCTCTGAGGGGCAGAAGCGGCCCTGCCAGCATCACTACCTTCTACATGTTTGTGGGGAGCACTCAGATCTGTGAAGGTCAGTGTTCCTATCACCCTAAAAATGGTTTTTTGTACATTGCTCTTGCTTCAGTTTTAAGAATGAAGTTTTCTATGGAGCTAGCATTTCCAAATTATTTTATGTAAAACACATTCCCAAGATGTCCTTGAAGATTTTCCACGAGAGAACCAGAACCAAAATGCAAATCAAACGAAACAGAAGAGATGTGCAGCCAAATACACTGGAGGCGCTCAGAATGCCGCCACCTCCCTGTGGAGTCACCTTGTTCTTGATTGCGAAGGTCCTGAGAAGTCCAGCTGTGTGCCATTGTTTCCGTATGTGCCTGTTTATCAGAAGTTCAGAAGTGACATTTGTCTTTGTGCTAGTCAGCTTTCCTTTACTGTAACAGATAGTTCATATAACCAAGTTAGGTAGAGGAAAAGGTTCTTTGATTTCACACTTTGGAACTCTGGGAGATGCTAGCTCTAGGGTTGTGAGCCTCTGGCAAGGCAACTTGTCAGGAAGCAGGAACTAAGCAAGACTGGTCACTTTGTGGCCAGCAGGAGGCAATGGGAAAAGGAAGAGGGGGTTCTGGGGTTCCACTCACCTCTTCAGGGACACTTGTGGTGACAGGAAATACTGTCTCTCATGAGTCCTCAACTGCTAAAAGTTATACCACCTCCTGATAGCACCACTCTGGGGACCAATCTTTTCCCACATTGGCCTAGAAGAGAGGGTTATGATCCAATTTACAGCAACATTCATGAAGATTCTGTTAGGCATTATTTTTTTTAAAAAAAAATGTGGCTTAGTTACACACATTAGAGGAGAAATAACCTGGGATCAGAAAAACTGAGTTTGGACCTTAACTGGGGAGAAAGAGAGAAAGAGAATGTGTGTGTGTGGGGGGGGTTGTTTTGGAACAGTTGCTGTGTGTTTGTGTTATTGTTATTATTCTTTTCTTTTCTTACTACAGGGACTTCCTATGTAGCCCAAGCCACATCCATCCTCCTGCCTCGTTCCCATAAATGCTATGGACAACCTGTGCCATTGCCTCTGCCAACTTGTGTTTTATTTTCTCTGTGATGGAAAATTACCAGAATTTACTTTGGGCTCACTGGACAAATGAAACCCAAGACAAATATAGGTGGATCTCTGTGAGTGCAAGGCCACCCTGGTTTACATACTGAGTAGTTGCCAATGCTATCAAAAAATATTTTTAAATTTCTCATAATTTCTTACATGTAAATTTTGTTGAATTTATAATATATCTCCTTAAGTCTTTTCAGCATTTCAAATAATTTGGAGATACATACTTTTGGAGTTTTTAAATGATAATGTGCAATTTGATATTCTTTTTTTGGTTATTTAACAACTAAAAAAGTGTGTGATTAGTAAAAACATCTATAAACACTCTGGAAAAGGTGTGTTGAAGTTACACAATAAGAATCCATTATTTGAATATTATCTGAAAATTTTGGACCAGCTATTTGAGAATTCATAATTATTTGTGTTTTGGTAAGATAGGATTAGGTAAAGGTGGTGTATTATGAAGTACTGCTAGTGGAACTTCTAAAGAAGCCTGGAATTAAAGGCAATATCAAGACAAGAAAACATTCAAATATTCATGCTGAGGTCAAGGATGGTTATTCAAAGTCTCTTTTAGTTCAAGGTTAGGCTTAGGACTTGTTAAACTTGCAGCAAGCCTCAGGCCAATTAACTATCTCTAAGGCCCTGTGGATTTGGGCACTGCGGGTGTCATGTTATGGGCTGTGTTGTGATTGCCAGCCAAGCCAAGCCTTCCCTGGTGCAGGCTGGCACTGATCCAAGGCTTTCGTCATCCGCCAGTGAGGCTGCAGTGAGCCTGCTTGCTGTCCACTGTTCTGTTCGTCTGTGACTGCTTTCTTAGCATTGAACCTCTGGGTTACCCCCAAGGGAACTTTTGGGTTCCCTGACGAAGTAACTATCAGAATAACTGGACACCTTATATTCCTCCCAGCATCACCTCCTGAAACAACCTCTGATCACATACTAACCGGAAGGCAGTGTTTCTTTTTATAGTGGCTTTTATAGCTCTCATGCAAACCTTTTTTATGTTTGTATTTTTCTCCATAGTTCTTTCCAGGTTAAACTTGAATGCACAGTCACACATACACACCGCTTGGAATGGATATGAAATTTCCCTATTTTTTTTTAAAATTTATCTTCTCAATTTAAGTTGTTTTCATATTTTTCTGAAGAAGAAAGCAAAGTATGGGATACATATGCCATGCAGAATACTAAACCACAGAAGAATGTCGAACACGAGCCCTTGTCTTCAACTAAACCACCCGAAGAGCAATCATCTAATATTTCTGTCTCTTTGAAACAGGCTCATCTTATACCTGTGGCTTTGGAGTGTGGTCCTACCTTCCTTTGTATCCTCAATTATATATTTTCAGTCTTAAGGAAAGCCACACAATAATTCACTTGTCTATCATAAGGCAGAGTTCCATTATCTTGACTCATATTAACTTAAATGTATCTTCTCGATTGGGACTCTCGAGTTGTCTCCAGTTTTTGTCGTTGCTTGGAGAGTTGTGACGAATGTCTTAGAGCCCTCATCCATTCCCAGGTGGCGGTCGCTTCTCTATCATAAATACCTATAATTGAGGGGATAAGTCGCAGATAGGTTTTCTCATTGCTTTTCTGGTAACTGCTACCTATTGAGGAGTTTTTATGACACAGTGATTTTATAACGCACAGTTGAAGAAAACAGTCACCCAGAGGCAGCTACTGCTAAAAAGTGTTGGCCTTTTTGGTAAACTCTGTTGTCTCTGTGGGGATGTTTATGTAAGTAAACCAGAGGTTATTATCTGTACGTCCAGTGGACAATGCTTTATAAACCAGGAATCTTTTTCTGTGCTGCTAAGATGAGTTCCTCGAGTAAAAGTGCTTGCTGCCAAGCTGGGGAGGGGGGGGGAGGTGACTGAGTGTGATCTCTGGAGTCCACGGGGAAGAGAAGCATAACTCCACAAAGCTTTGCTCCGACCTCTACACATGCACTGTATACACACTCAAACACACACACAGGTACACAAAACACACATGCATTGTATACACACTCAAACACACACACAGGTACACAAAACACACATGCACTGTATACACACTCAAACACACACACAGGTACACAAAACACACATGCACTGTATACACACTCAAACACACACATAGGTACACAAAACACATATGCACAACACACATGCACCATACAAAAACAGATTACACAAAAACACACAACACACAACATATTCATGATAATAATAAATGAAATAATTTTTAAGGGATACTTTTAATGACCACATACTATCACGTTCTTACTGGGGAGAAGTTGAAGGTATAAGTATAGCTTTATAAGCATTTTACATTTTTTTGGTTATTTCTAATACAATTTCTTGAGTATCTGGGTGGTTTCCTTAATTACTTGCTCAAGACAAATTTATAGAAGTACTAATGATGAGTTAATAATGTTTGAGGGGTTTGATATACGCTTGTAGATTAAGTACTCTATGGGGTCAGGCCTAATGCACACACCTCCCTGGGGAATGAGTACTTTTCGTCAGGGTTTCCATTGCTGCAGCAAAACACCATGACCAAAAAGCAAGCTCAGGAGGAAAGCGTTTATTTGACTTACACTTCAACACCACAGTGCATCGTGGAAGGAAGTCAGGACAGGAACTCAAACAGAGCAGAAACCTGGAGGCAGGAGCTGATGCAGAGGCCATGGAGGGGTGCTGCTTACTGGCTTGCACCTCAGGGCTTGCTCAGCCTGCTTTCTTATAAAACCCAAGCCCACTGACCCAGGGATGGCACCACCACCCACAATGGGCTGGGTGCCCTCATCAGTCACTAACTAAAAGAATGCCTTACATCCTGATCTTATGGAGGCATCTTCTCAATTCAGGCTCCCTCTTCTCAGATAACTCCAGTTTGTGTGTCAAGTTGACAGAAGATTAGTCAGCACAATGAACTTGCTTGACAGAGTTAGGCCAGCTAGGTAGCTTACCAATTTAATTTATCTCTCAGTCTCTCTCAGTGTGTGTCTCTCTGTGTCTCCCTCCTCCTTTCTGCTCCCTCTTAATCCTCTCCCTCTCCCTGTATGTGCATGCGTGTGTGTGTTTCTTGAAACAAGGATTCCCTATGTAACCCAGGCTGGCCTCAAAGTTGTCATCCTCCTGCCTCTGCCTCCCAAATGATAGGATTGCATTGGAACACCACCGCACCTGGCCCTTAAGGCATTTTCTCTTATTAAAATTGTGTGCTGCTGGACCAGCGGGATGGCTCAGCAGGTGAGGGTGCTTGTCATAAGCGTCTGTCCGCGGAGTTCATTGCTGGGTCCATGTGTATGTAGAATAAGATTCCACAAAGTTGTCCTTTGACACACACACACGGTGACAACTTGAAATCTTGCCTTAAGAAATAAAAGAAAAATAACTCATTAAAAAAAAAGTCAAAAGTGCTAAAATGAGATCCTGTGACTACTTTAATAAGCTCTGAGCTTTAAAAATTACAACACAAATCATTTTTCACTTTTACTGACCATTTGTTTTTCTCTTCTGTCCATCGCCTTTTCTCACATTTTGGCATGCTTTTCTTGCTCTCCTTGTGATGAGTTTTCTGTATAAATCAAGCATATTAACACACTGCCTTTTGTAAGCAGACCAGAAAAGCCTACCTGTTCCCTTTTGTACGATACCTGTGCATACTGTAGTAACAACTGCATCTAGTCATGCCTGTCAGAGTTGTCTCCATAATGCCTTTTATCAGCAGCTGCCTTAAAATGGTCCTCCACAGTGGGTCAAGTCTGATGCATTTCCTTCGAGTGTCTTCATGATATATATATATAATCCTGTTCACCAAGAATTATTTGCTGTCCCCTTCCACTTCCACTGAATTCCTTCTTTTTTCAAACAAGCCATCCCTCCTGTTTTCACGTCTTTTAGTTGGTTTGCACTTTTTGTTTGTAATATTTTATGCCACACTGCATTTAATTAGGGTTGTTTTCATGAGCCTGGTTTGTGGTGGATGCTGTTGACTGGAACATGGGCAACTCCACAGTGGCTACAGCACTGAAGAAAGTGACTCCTCCTCTTCTACCAATGGTTCACTACCCCTTGCTCCTCAGACAGGGGTGGAACATCGTGAGCCCCTCTTTGTCTATGGCGCAATGTTGATGGCTTCATCTTGGGTCGGTCTCATGCAGATAACCAGAGCTGCCAGACCATGTTACAGTCATATTATATCCCTAGAAGAGCTTTCCACAGTACTCCTCTGCATTCTCCACCTCTCCTCTCTTTTTCCCTCCCCGCTTCCACAATGTTCTAGAGGTGTGAAGGAAACTTGCAAGAGTCAGGCACTTGGGACCAAGTGGCTTCATGAACGTGGAGCCTCGTTTCTGCCACACAAAGCTGCTGAGAGACTGGCTCATTTCCAGGCTGAGAGAGGGAGGTGTGAGTCAGAGAGAAAAGTAAAGCCTGGTCAAGGACTCTGCCTAGAAATGGGGACAACCCCTCTAAGATAGGAAGACAAGAAAGGGCACAGACCCACCAGAGGAACTTACCTTCTGCTCTCCAGTAGCCTGAGAAGACAGACTTGGCTCTGAAGTCCAAATTCACAGCAGAAAATTCCCCACATACGATGGCCCAGCTGATTGCCTCTCCAGGCCTCAGTTTCCCCATCTGTGAAATGCAAATGGCACAGCAACATGTACCACATTTGTGTGGACATTATCTAAGCTAGCTGACAGGGCTCTGAAGATGGTTACTGACAGATATTAGCAGTACATCTAACACTCGTATGTAACAAAACATTCAAACAAGGCCAACAGAGAGAAAGTGAAGTGTAAAATAACCCTGAGATTCTTCCGCCAGCACCCATCAGCAATAGCTTCTAACACATCCTTCTACACCCACACAATTATAACTTATAATGTCCATGCATACCTGGGCATGCATATCACAAAATACTCCCCAGCTACTGTCCTACACTCAGAGACAATTTACAGTGCCCCATCACAATGCTGGTGTGGCATGTACACGGTATGTGTATGTATGTACACTGCATGTACATAGTATCACACGTTCATTTGTGTGTACGCACACATGAGAGTGTGTGGAAGCAGGAGGTTAGTGTTGGGTGTCTTCCTCAACTACTCTCTTTATTGAGACAGGATCTCTCACTGACCTGGAGCTCATGACTCTGGTTAGAATGGCTGGTCAATAGTCCAAGGAATCCTGCTGTCTCTGCAGCCCTAACACTGGGGGATTAAAGGTTTGCCTGGCTTTTTATGTGAATGATGAGGATGCAAGCTCAAGTACTCATAGCTTTCATAAAGGCAAAAGCCTGTCTCTTCTAGACTCAGTATAACGGAAGCCTGCTTCCCCCAAGTTGTTCCCTAGAGGTGGTTCCTTGTTCCCTCTACCCACCAGTGCTGGTGGAGGCTGCTAGATCCCAGGATGATCGACATCTGTATGGTGAGCCAGCAGTCCGTTCTCCACATCAGTACCACAGAGTCTATGAACTCCTTGAAACATGGAAAGAAATACTGCAAACTCAAGAAATGAATAAATATTTAATTCAGTAGTTCCCAAAACACGTAGGCTGTTCTGCGATGAGATGAAGAACTAAGGTTGTTTGTCCTTTTCCCCTTCTGTCCTGACACTATGATGTTGCGGAATATTACTTTAACTATGTAAAGATGTGCTCAGTTGTTTATGTTGCATTTGTTTTATGTAAAGATGTGTTGCTGTTTTACCTTGGCTGCCTACGGCACCTGAGTGGTCTAATAAAAAGCTGAATAGCCAATAGGTAGGCAGAGGAGGAATAGGCACGGCTGGCAGGAAGAGAGAATAACTAGGAGGAGGAATCTAGGCTCAAGAGAGAGAAGAGAACGAGGAAGAATGAGAGGGAGATGGAGCTAGCCAGCCAGGTAACTGCCAGACAGCCAGACACAGACTAGAACTTACAGAAGAAGGAAAGGTAAAAAGCCCCAAGGCAAAATGTAGATGAAAATAAACAGATTAAATTAAGTTATAAGAGCTAGCAAGAAACAAGCATATGATAAAATCAAGCATTCATAACTAATAGTAACTCTCTGTATCATGATTTGGGAGCTAATTGGTGGCCTAAAAAAGTCTTCTGCATTATGATCTTGGCAGCACTTAGTCTGTACTAAGTAAGTGATCCTTTGATCTTTTGGGAAATGGAAATATGGCTTGGGATCTCTCTCTCTCTCTCTCTCTCTCTCTCTCTCTCTCTCTCTCTCTCTCTCTCTCTCTCTTTCTCTGTGTGTGTGTGTGTGTTTTGAGGATTAAGTCCAGATCTTTTCACACCATAGGCAAGCCCTCTACCAATAAGTCATATCCCCAGCCACATTTTGCTTCATTCCGCTTTTAATTAGGAGACGGCCTTGTTAAGTTACTTAAGCTGGCATTGAACTTGTGATTCTCCGGCTTCTGCCTCCCAAGGAGCCAAAACTCCAGGCTGTCCCCACAGGCCCAGTTGATGATAGATCTCTAAGACTCTCCTAAATGCCCCTTGTGAGCACAGGCAGCAGAAAGGATTCAATGCCCTTGCTTTGGTTTGCACGTCAGTTTTTTGTCAGTTTGGCAAATGCCTGCTGTAATCAATTTGAGAGGGGGAGGTTTTATTTGGGATCACGGTTTCATTTGGCTTTAGTCCATGGTCACTTGGTTCCAGGGCCTTTGGGTCCCCTACGGTGAGACAGAACATTATGGCAGGGGGCAGGTAATAGCACAGCCGCTCGCAGAGGACTAGCAGTAGACTGTTTGAGAGAAGAAGGCAGGGACTAGATTTGCCCTTCAAAGGCATGACCCTCCTGACACATTGTTAAGATTCATCTCCCTGCTTCCATCCCCTTTAAAACACTGTTCAGTTTTGAGTACATCAACAGACCTGTCCACTAATGAGGGCAGAGCCCTTGTCATGTAGTCCCTACTCACCTCGCTTGGCACTCGAGCCTTGGAGGAAAGGTTTCCTGTCCAAATTACAACAGTTTTACTGTAATTTTTTTTTGTAGTCAAGTATCCTGGGGACTCATGAATATTCCAGTTCTCTCCTTCTCTGAGGCCTGTAGGACGTAGGCAATCTTAACCCAATCTGAATGCAGTCATTTCAAAAGTAGCGTGCTCTGGCCAGTGCGATGTGAGCAGACGTGAAGTACGTCAGAGTTTGCGATCAATTGTGGTTGTTGTGCCGTCTGACCTATTTTCTGATTCGGTTCCATGCAAGGTCAAGAGATGCCAGTGGAGGTGACAGAGCAGGGAACAAGCGGAAGAACCTCTGAGGGCTGAGACCGAAACAGAAGTACTGATCATGCTCCCTCAATGGAAATACCCTGTCCGCCCACTCACCCACCCATCCTGCCTGTTTAAAGTGAATTCAGAGGAGAGGGTCAGATCAGTCACAGCCAAAGGGGCCCTTGATAACTGGAAGATTGGATGAGATTTCTGAGGGCAGGGACCATGGTACGGCCGGCCACTTCTATAACCCCAGGTGTCTAGCCAAGAGCCTTTTCTCTGGCGTCACCAAGAATGGGTTTGATGTCAGATGACTGAACTTGAAGCTGAAATCCTAATAGAAGGATCCAGCATTAGGGATTCTGAAGAGGAACGAGCCTGGGCTCAAAAGGCGCTTTACGTGGTATTGTATGTGTGACTTTGAACCAGTCCCTTAAGCAAGCTGACATCAGTTTCCTCAGGCGTGGAGATAATGAAATATTGATTAATAAGATTGGTGTCGGGGAGGGGGTTGGGTGGGAAGATAACTCTAGTGGGCTTTGCTTAAGACCTCCGTGTGGACAATACCAGATAAAAATTACACAGCCCTGGGCCCACATTCAAGTTTCAGTCCCCATCTCACAGTTTCTGGCAAGGTGACCTCAGGCCAGGCCTTTCCTTTGTCACTGCTTTGTGGCTGAATGAAACGAATGCTGTTTAATTCCCAGACAGCACTCAAAGAGATGGCACTAGGCCACCAGTGCGGAGCCAGGCACATTTTGGAGGCAACTTTGGTCTTTTTCCTCACTTCAGGGTCAGTGCAGGTCTGGGCTTCGGCGCAGCACCACAGATACCTGCGGGGCTCCTCCATCCCACCTGGCCAGAGAGCAGTGTGGTTTGAGAGATGAAGTTTGCATGAGTGTGATAATAGGGGATAATGGGTTTGTTTGCCATGTCTATCAGGGTCTGCTTCAGAGCTGAGCCTGCTGTTGGGTCTCTGATGACCTATGCTCCGGTGGCCTCAGTGGTGATGTCTCCCAGAACTGTCAAGACCAGGTTGCCCACACCCCTTGATGCTTTGTGTAGGTTCTCCATAGAGCTGCTCTCCTAGGGCATGCAAGTCAGATAGTGGTCCGGTGCTGAGTGATCCCAAATGGCTGTAGAAGGCTCCTTGACTCATAAACTCACCCTCCTGCTGCCTGTCAAAAAAAAACCTAGTACTCCTCCCCAGCTCCCAGCCCCAAGCTCTAGTCAAGACCTTATTCCTAAAGGGGGTTCAAGACACCTGGTATTTCCCACATCTAGAGGTTGTTATCTCATCCATTTATACTTGTTGAGCACCCTCTGTATACCAGCACTTGGCAGTCTGCCAATGGCATTTCATTTGGTCTTTCCAGACACTCTGTGAATCATGCATTATTGACCTTATTTCCCAAGCAAAGGGTTGAGTTTGGGAGATAATAATTAAACTGTCCCCCCAAATACAGGGAAGATGATGTAAGTCCTCATTCGGCCCCCAAAGCCTGTTCCCCTTCTACCTCATTCCATAGCCCTCCCTTATCATAATGAAGGCAAAGAAAACCTACAAAGATGACAAATGGATGTTAGGGGGGTTGTTTTTAAGTGGGGGATTTCAGATACCCCAAGAAGAGTGGTGTCATTGAGGGTCACTCCTGTGACTGCCTCAGCTGGCCATTTTGAAAGGGTTATATAGTCAGCAAGTCTGGAACATTATAGCATGAGGGCTCTTCTCAAAGGAAAGTGTCTGTCCCCTTCAACAGGTACAGGTGACACCATCTCTAGAGCCCAGTCCTATACTTTGGGGGACACCAGCAATTTCCCCACAGCATTGAGAAAGCTTCTGGCCAAGGTGGGGGGCCACTCCTCATAGGCTCTGCCATGCTGAATCGTCCTAAAGGGATAGGAAGGGGCTCTGAGCAGGAGGAAGGCAGGCTGGGAGAAGACCCCCGTCACTCATCTCCCTGGTCCTCCCTTCCTTCCCTTCTGCAGCCAGGCACTGTGCCTTCGCTTGGTCCGGCAGCTCTCCCATAGGTGTGTGGCATCCTCTTCCTTCTCTCCCAGTCTCCATATCCCACCCCCCCCCCTGCACAATTAGAGACAGCAGAGACATTCTCCCAGGGAAGTTTTAAAGAGAGAGGCTGCAGCCATATGACCTAGAAAAAGGAGCACTAGGCAAAACTGCTGCTCTGAGATCTCTGCAGTCTGTGCGAGGCCAGAGGGTGGCAGTGGAGCCAGTGACCCATGCTTCTGGGGGATCTCTCGGGCTGTGCCAGGAATAGGATAGAGATTCTGGTGTCCTCCAAACTCAGACCTCATTTCGTTACAAGTGGCATCTCCCAGGATAAACTTCCACACAAAAGAGGTAACAGGTCCATTTCCTAGCAACCCCAGCAGATCAGAGGGCTAGAGGCCACAGGGGTCTGAAGGACAGAGAGTCCATGATCTGTTTTTTTTGTTGTTGTTGTTGTTGTTGTTTTAAGGCTGGGGCCACAAAGAACCTGGGGCCATGACCTTGTAACTGGTGTTATACTGTGGGTGGCTACTTAAAAATTGGTGTATGAAATAGAACAGATTTTTTTTAGTTATTCTGTATTCTATCTCTCTGTACCGTGACATCTTCCACTGCAGACCCCAAGACACTGAGATAGGGCACCATGTGCCTTTTGGAGCGTGTCACTGCAACTAGAAGACAGAGGCTAGAGCTGCTTTCCAGCCCCACTGATCTGGCTTCAAGCCCCAGGTGGCCATTAACATGAGGTAGACTGTGTTACTCAGGAAGACTCTCATGCAGAAATAGATCCCATGAGGAATCCTACCTTCGAGGTACACGTAGGGCTGATGTGAGGTGACACTGGTCAATCACTTTGCTCTGGCCTTGATCCGTGGGGCATGTTTCATAAATGGTAGCTATGGTAATTAACATAGGTATAATAAAGTACAAGCCCCCGGCGAATTGTGTGAGGGAAAGGACGGTAATGACAGATGATCAGGCTGCCAGCTGTGACTGTCAAGTGCCCAGCTTACAGGAGTTCAGAGTTGCCTGTCATACTAGGTCACTAAAGCTTTCTCTCCAGGGAGGTGTCTGCCCCATGTGGTACCAAGAGAGGACAGAATGGTGTCTTGTCACGTAATGGCCAGGTACCCACACCTCTTGCTCAGGGACTTTGCTGAGAGGTGAGTATGATGACATCCATTTAACAGATAAGGATCCAGAACTTTCCCGAGGAGCCAGAGCCGGCCAGAGGGCAGTTCTGGAATGCAAATCCGGTTCAGCCAAAATATAGACCCAGATCTTCTGCCTTGAATTTAAA